GCGCTGCAGGATTTCAGACCATTGCGGCGTAGTGTGTTACCAATGTTTTGCTTGGTGACTGTGGTCCCAACTGCCTTAAGATCATTAACAAGCTCCTCCAGTGTAGTTCGGGGCTGACCCCTCACCTTTCTCATGATCATCCTTACCCCATGAGAAAAGATCTTGCACGGAGCTCCAGCCCAAAGCCGATTGATGGTTGTTTTGTATTTCTTCCATTTCCAAATAATCGCACCAACAGTTGTCTCCTTCTCACCAAGCTTCTTGCTGATGGTCTTCACACATACTCCGTCTGCAGTGCGTGTGGGTTGCGGTTTTTTTTTTTACGCACCCATGTTAACGAATTGGAGCTTTCACACTGCACACGGTTGCGGTCCGTCAGTGCGTTCCAGGAGTGGTGCGTCTGCAGCAGTGCAGCGATCGTTTACGCACAGAGTCTATTTTTGCTGTGCTGCACGCGCTGTATTAAAGTGACAGCGCTTTGTTCGCGGTAAAAATGAACATGGATTGACACAGAAATGTAGTAATTTCACAATAAATAGATATAATTAAAGTTATTAAAGGTATAAAGTTATTAAAGGGGTCCTATTATGCTTTTTCACTTTTTTAATTTTAGTCAGTGTGTAGTGTGTATGTTTGGTTGGTTGAGTGAGTGCATGAGACGAGACGACGACGAAGAAGAGCTGCTGCAGAGTTAGTGCATCAGAGAAAACAAAGAAGAGCTGCTGTGCTGTAGCGTCAAATTTTTGGCATGTCTAGAACAGCGGTTCTCAATTCCAGTCCTCGCGTACCCCCGCTCTGCACATTTTGTATGTTTCTCTTATTGCTTCATACGTTTGTTATATTTGACTGTAAGTGCCCTGCGAAGTGGACATTACCGGATATTCCTCCATGATTCCAGTTTGAAGGGAGCGTACAGTGGGTACGGAAAGTATTCAGACCCCCTTAAATTTTTCACTCTTTGTTATATTGACGACGTAGCTGGACGCCGCGGACAGACGCCGAACGGCGCCACCGGTGTGCCTGCACTCATAGAAAATAATGTATTTGAATTTTAAAGACATGGCGCGACTGCGCTTCTCGTCCGGTGCGTGACCGCCTGAAATACAGTTTTTTTTTCACCTCCGTGTCTTTGTTTGGGCTTCCGAAAGTGGATGATGTCAGGAAACAGTGGTTGCAAGAAGTTCATCAAAGCCGGAACTAATCGAGCCGTTTGTGCCAGGCTGGAGAGAAAGGTATTTTAATAATGTAAATTATGTGAAAAATTATGTGTTTTTCGAACCACCAAGCATGAGAGCATGTTCTAGTACACCCCCAAAACAAAATCAAGACTTTGTAAAAGAGCATAATAGGACCCCTTTAAATATAATTACTGTGTTTCACAGGCTTTTTGGCTAGGTTTAAAACAAAGAAAAGTGCACTTCTAGATAAACAAGGCAACATGTGTCTTGAAGAGGTAGAAAAACAAAGTTCTTTAAGACCCGAGGGACTGTTTGTAATAAAGATTTAAATGTAAAAGGCACGAGAGCCGACTTTTCTGTAAGTGATAAGTTTTAATTTAAACTATTTGTGATAACCCAACACAAAAAAGCTATATGCTGTGTTCAAATGTGTTTCCACTTGCTTGAGCAACTTAATATACAAATCTAAGATCTTGGAAAATGCTAACTTTAGCCTGATAGCACTGAAA